ACTCTGTACTGATATGTATACTTCTTGATGGCTTTGTTGAACATTAGTTCACTTGTGGGGCACCGAAGAAGAATTTGAGGGTTTACTGAGGTGAAATCATTTTGCTCCTGGGAAAATATTTTATAAATGCTTTAATACTATGTGAAAAACGTGATGGATGAGGTAATATCTTTTATTGGACTAACTTCTGTTGGGGAAAGAGGCAAGATTTCAAGCTTCACTGAGCTCTTCTTCAGATTCATGAAAGATACCACTTCACCTATTTGTGTGTCTAATTTCCTGAGACAAACATGGCTACAACACTTAATACTATGTGTATTCTATCATTTTAAAGAATTCCACTGGAGTTTACTATTTCATATTCGGGCAATAAACAGACCTATTGGATAATACAGCGGTTATGATCAAAAGCAAAGAAGCAAATTTCAATTGACACTAAACCCCTTCACTCAAACAGTCATTCCTTCTCATCAGCACTTTCATATAGGTCTTTCAACTGCTCACTAGTAGCTAAACAGTGCAATGTAATTAAAAGTATAGGAATCTATCTTGCAGGGATAATATTACTGTGTACCTATCATCCAAGAATGTGTTTCACTCAAGGATATCTTTATAGTTTCCTGCAAAAGTAATTCATACCCTAAAAGAAACTATGTCAAAGCCCTACAAAAGCATGTTGGCTTTAAATCTATGCAAGATACAAAGAAATACTGAATAGTACATCTAAATTTCCAGATAAAATCTTAACTAAGATGTCATTTGGTTTCTGAGAGTACAAATGAAATTAAGGATACAAATCCTCTCAAAATATAGTTACTGAAAAATGACTATTTAAAAACCAAGAAAATTCAGGGTTAATCTTTAACATTGCATGACAGCCTTTGGGGATTTATGCACTTTAAAATACCTTGGTTCTGATGCTACCTCCACTCTTTAAAGTGGACTTAGTTTTCTTTATAGGGAGAAAAAATAAAGCTTAATTCAAGTAAGTGAAAAGTGAAGACGCAGAACAATTTGCATGTGTATCATATAGGCCTTTGAGAACACTTTGAGAAGCCTGTTAACTGGCCATGCCGGTTTGTTTACTTTCCGGTGCCACAGCCATGGAGCCTCGCAGCTCCTATTGGCTCTGGTTTGCTGTATGCAGCCAAGGGGAGCCGCAGGAAGCTATAATGATCTAATGTCATTTTGTTCTATAGTGTTTTACAGTGATCTAATTGCATTTTGTAGTCATTAACTCCAAAAGAGAAGCCCTGTGAAAAGTAGTGAGAAGCTCAATGATTGTTCTTGAGCATGGCACTGTTCAGTCAGAGCTGGTAGGGCCTGCAATACGTAGGCATATATTGTAGAGAATTAGATGCCCCACTTTCCCCCTATGCCAATAGTATCTTTTGAGGGATACTTTCAAAGCTAAAGCACTTTAATTACAGCAGTGGCTTTGGACCAATAGACCCACTTAGGAGGAATCTCAAGAGTCTAAAATTAGGCTATAGTTTTCCATCATAAATATTACATTCTCATTTTTATGTGCTCAGTTTTTCTGCTGGAGACTGATTTGGTTTGAAAAGACTATTTGAAGAGTGTGGTGACCTTTGACTGATTTTACGAACATTTAAAGTGTGTAAGACTAAACCTAGATTCGGGGCATAAAACGAAAAACAGAGAACTGTGGTGACTTTGTAATATTTATGAGGAAAGTGCTAACATTTATTTTAGTTTCATTAAAGCGTACTGATTTTTAAGGTTACATATACATTATATGACTTCAGTGGATTTTTTTTTATTAAAATTACCCTGTGTCTGAGCTTTCACAATGCATTTTGTAATTCTGCCTATGCCACAACACTGCCAACCTAAAGTTGGATGTCTCAATTACACTTTTTAGGATAAATATATAGTACAATATACAGGGGCGGATGAGAGTTTTGTGGGGCCCAGGGCAGCACAATTTTGCGGGGGCCTCCCTTTGAAGAAAAAATAGAAAAAAGGTGTCAAATGCACAAATTGAGGGCTATTTTCATATTAAATGTGAATTGGGTAAATTTGATAGAAACTTAATTTAGTTGGATAATTTTTATTTTAATTATATTGTAAGTCATTCTTAAGCAAAATTCTGCATTAATAATTAAAAATTTTCATTTGTATTTGTCTCTTCCTCCTCCTGCCTCACTCTCTCTTTCTCTTCCCCCTCCTGCCTCACTCTCTCTTTCTCTTCTCCTCCCCCTCTTGCCTCTCACTCGCAGAGCCCAACGGCTGTTTGCGCTGCTTGCTCCCACGCGGTGGCCCGGCTGAGCGCCGCAGAACTCAGCCGAGCGCCATGGTGGGAGGCGAAGGGGGGCGGGGCAGTGATGTACACAGCCAGGGGGCAGGACCTGGAGCCTCTGTCATGGCCTTCGCCTCCCACAGTGGCACTCTGCTGAGTTCTGTGCTGTTCAGCCAGGCCGCCGCGCAGAAGCAAGTGGCACAAGCGGCCGTTTGGGCCCCGCGTGGCATCTATTGCAGCACAGGGCCCGGGGCAGCTACCCCGCTCGCCCTGCCCTATATCCGCTGCTGACAACACATTACTTTAAAAATAGGATGACCAATTATCCCGTTTTTAAAGGGACAGCCCTGTATTTAAGCCTCTCTGCTGGTGCTCCTATATTTTTTTTATGTGCAAATTGTCTCTTCCATCAGTACTGGTGGGCCCTAATGCTAGTCAGATCCTTGCTTGCCAGTCAACCACCTACCAGTGGGGTAGGAAGAGCAGTGATTGACAATGGGGGTGACTGCGAAAGGCTGATGGTCAGGCAAAAACTGCTGAGTCCGGGGCCAGACAATTCCCTGTTGGTCTCTCAGTGCAGTATCACTGCGTGCCAACTTTTGGACAGCAGTTTCCTCCCCCCACCATTTCTAGCCAGCACTGGCTGATGGCTGCAGTGGCTGGTGAGTGCAAGCAGACAGTAGCTGATTACATGCTTCCTCTGCTGCCCACCCATCAGCTCTTTACATGCTCCCCTCTTACTGTCCTCTCCCTGCTATGCCCTCCCTCCCAGTGCTCTGCTCCTCCATATTCCCCCTCCCCTTCAAGGTGTGTTCTGCTTTTGGTGCTGTATGGAGAGCCAGCCCCGGCCAGATCATTTAGCTCACTAACAGCCTGTCTGGCCGGCTCCTTCCTTCCCTTACTGGGCTGGCATCCAGGGATAGTTCAAGCTCTCTTGTCTAGGGTGCTGGTTAGGAGGAGACAAACCTTCCATGTGCCAAAGCCCCACATGGAGCTGGCACGGGGAAGCTTCTCCATCTCTCAGGTAGGCTCTGGAGTGGTGGGGAGGAAGCTATTTCCAGCCTGTTTGAAACTGAACCCTGCAGGTCCCCAGGCAGAGGCGCACAGCACCCTCTTCACATGCCGCATCCTGCTGTAAATGAAACACTTCAGCTGCGCTCACTCAACTTGATATTAATTGGAATGTTTGCACTACATAGTTCTTATTGATTGGCATTGAACTCCTTTGAATATGAGCTGTTTTACCAGGAGTCCTGTATTCAGCATAGGGGAATATAGTCACTCCTTTTAAAGATGGATTTTAAAAAGTGATCATTATTGGCTCATATCTATACCCATGAAACTCATTTGCAAACCTGTCGTTAACCTGAGTGGGAGGAGCAGAGTTAAGTCAATGCTAAGCACTTTTGAAAATTCCTCCCTAATTGTAAAATACTCTTTGTTTTTGAAAGGCTAGCTAATGAATCAAATTGTTATCAACAAAAACAATAGTAATCTTGGTTTTAAACATTCCTGTGCACTGTTTCTACCTGAAGGCACTGCATGCTGAGGTTATGAGAACCACTGCATGAATGACTTGTTCATGCAAACAGCAAAAATAGTGAAAAATATTAAAATGGAGAAAAAATAATTGAATGCATGAGAGATAAGGAAGGGAATTTGATTTTAAAAAGACTACTAAACACTGGCTTTTTCATATGTCAGTTTCAGTTTTTAATTTATACCAGTCTTGAAGTTTGTGTACTTTTCCAGTCACTATATATTTCTCAAACCAAAACTTCTTCAAAACAGCTTTCCTTAGCCCCTTTCAGTTTATAGTATGTGCTCATTTTAACTGGAGGGAGGCACACTTCAAAATCAACGCAGTACTTTAAAAATGCTTGAGCTAAAATCTAAGAGGATGGGTAATACAGTGGGATTTTCAAAATTGCCTAAATGAGTTAACTTTCCATGGGATTTGCAGTACTAAATCACCTAGCTGCTTCTTGAAAATAACAACCCTGGAGACTAAAGGCATTAACCACACACTGTTTCATGGTCAGTGTGCAATTAGCTGATGTTCTCTGTCCATATCCTTACTTCAGGTGTCAACATCATTAGAGTTTAAAACTGACGCTAAGGACTAAGTGCATGATTCGCCATCTGTTGCAGTCAATGGGAGTCTTTCTATCGATTTCAGTGTACTTCAGATCAGTCTTTGAAACTTTATAAAAACTTGATTACCCTTTTATCGCTAATTGTGGCTCCTCCGGATAAAAGTTGAAGCACATTGATGAGCTACTATGGAGAAGCCTGCACAGCTGTAAATAGACTTTTGTGTCCATAGCTGTTCATTGGTTCACTTTTCCCAAGTACTAAATTGCCTTTTTTTTAAATGGCATTGTGGTTTTGTGTTCATCTCCACCATTTTGTTCATATATTGCAAACAAGCAATGTTTATTTTAAGTACTAGCATAGAGAAGATTTTTTCTTTGACTGAAAATTAGTGTTGGAGAGACCTGGGCAGACAAATTTCAGTGTGTGAATGTGTAGAGGTATAGGGATTTTCTCAAGTGCTTTTTCTCAATGTACAAAGAAAATGTATGTACACCATCTTTGGAGTCCTTTCCTAGTTGTAGAAATGCAGCTACTATGCGGTAGTTCCTAAATAATTATTAATATGGTACCGTATTAGTGTGAAGGAGCATCTAGGAGACAACAAATATAAACAAGGATATTCTCTTTTTATATTTTGCAGATAACTTGCTGAAGCTGAACATGTTCTTTCATCTCCACTATTGACATCCAGGGCAGAATAGCTATTCCAGATAGAATCAATAGATCCATTTTCAATAGGACCATTGTACATTAATATACGATGGAAGACACATACAGAGATAGGACTTCATTAGTGAAAGGGGCTAAGGACATTGCCAAGGAGGTGAAGAGACAAACTGTAAAGAAGATGAATAAAACTGTAGACAAAGCTCAGGATGGGTATACACAGAGGTCCTACAATCAGTTCAAGGAAGGGGAAGAAGATGATGACTACTACACACAAGGAAGAAATTATGATGGAGAAGCCAATGATGATGAAGGATCAAGTGAAGCAACTGAAGGGCATGATGAAGATGATGAGATTTATGAAGGAGAGTATCAGGGAATCCCAAACATGGGGCAGGGAAAGGATGGCATAGTGGCCCTAGAGCAGCCCATCCATGATGAGTACAAGGATCGTCATGAACTGGAAACAGAGAGGAAAGCTGATGAAGAGGAGCTAGCACAACAGTATGAACTGATTATACAAGAGTGTGGACATGGCCGTTTTCAGTGGGCCCTCTTCTTTGTTCTTGGAATGGCACTAATGGCGGATGGGATAGAGGTTTTTGTGGTTGGATTTGTGTTGCCCAGTGCTGAGACAGACATGTGCATTCCCAATTCTGGATCGGGATGGTTAGGTGAGTCAAAACTATGTTCTTATCTCTACTGTATCACAAATTACATTTGTAGCCTGTCTACTTACTGTTTTGCCAACACTAAAGCATGTTAAGAAAAAAAAGTATTTTCTATATTAAATGTGACTCTGCAGATCACTAAATATATTAGATGGCTAAAATGCATTTAATGAAAATAGCAATTGATTTTAATGTTCTTTTTCATGGTCAGTCAACAAAAGTAGTTAAATAAACACCGTTGAGATCGCCTTTGGTCTTTTCTTTTCCTGTGCAGTCTAAGGGATTGTCTTCAGGAAAATCTTTGCATGGCCAGCTGGAGTGTAAATCTATAGTACACTAGTTCGCCACACAGTAACTGGCCATGTGGACATTTCCTCGGCACACTACAGGTTCTGTAATACAGTTTGATGGACTGCTGGTTGAAATGTTGCTTTCAATTACAGCAGTATACATTTAGAAGAACTACATTAAAAATGTTGTCTGATGAGTGACGCTATTCTAGGTTTACTGTGGCATAAATGAGTAGATTGTGACTCTGTAGCGATAAAATTTTTTGTTTCTTTTACCTTCACTGCATGGTTTTACTAGAATGTTCTTGTTTCCACATTAGTTCAGTTTTGCTACTGTTTTCTTGTCTCTTTGGCTGTTTGGAACTATCTGAATTTCCTGTGTTCAGTATGTAAAAATTAGACTGTCTTACAAAATTTACATTAGGATAGAAGTGCTCTTACTAACATATTAAGCTTATATCAGATAAAACTTTCAACATGTTGACACCAATAGTTTATTTGCTAGCTTTTAATACAGTGAATTAGATTCTGCTTTCATTTATACTTGTGCAAACCCGCTGGATTCTTTAGGGATGCAAGAGGGCAGAACTTGCACCTTTAAGCATCCTTTAACACCGTCTTTGTTTTTATATTAGTTGAAGGCTCAGATATTTTGTTGGTAGAGACAAAGACATTAGCTAATTGTGTGGTACAAAGATTAACCTTATATTAAAATTAACGAAGACATGTAAGTTATAACCAGGATAGATGGCTGAACTCATTCAACAGGGCAAGCACCTGGCTTCTTCTACAGAAAGTAATTCCCACAGATATTTTTGCACCAGAGAAGTTAGACTGCCTATATCATCTCCTTCCAGAGCTCTATTGCACATCTTGGCAGGAGGTGCTGCCACGAGGGGAAGATCTACTTTTATTATGGCCTCAGTTTTCATCTCCTTGTCCCAAATGAGGGAGGAGTGGGCAGCTTCAGGAGCAGAGCCTTGGGCAGAAGAAGCTGGGCTGGGCGGTGGCCTCCCCCAGTCATCCCTTCAGCACTGCGCAGCCCATGCCACTTGAGGCTCCAGTGGCAATTTAAAGGGTTGTGGCCAGGAGCCCCAGGCCCTTTTCAATTGCCAGGCCCTGAGGCAGCTGCCCTTTTTGCTTCCCCTCTCCCCTGTTGGTGGCCTTGCCTCTGGCACTCAAATTATTTGTGCCCTGCTCTTCTGCACCAGAATAACACATATAGATTCCTCTCATGTAGGAGGCAGTTGCTCCACTGTCTGTACCTTTCCCCCAGGAACATCCTTAGGATTTATGGGGCTCTACACAGTGCTGTTAAACTGGTGCCCCTATGGCTGGGTGGGAGGGAATGATGATATTTTAGAGATGTGATTTTGTAATCTTCAGCAACATGCTAGTGAAATATCTTTAAAGCAAAATTTAAACTAAAATCCCATCAACTAACACAGTAAAGTCAGAAACTGACATTATATACCTGGGGCTGTCAAATGCCTATTAAATGGCTTCATTACTACTGTACTTCAATGGTTCTTTCACATGTTCAGTGTTCTCCTAATGGGTCTGGCAGACTTGTTCACTTTTGGGTTAACTAGATCCTCTCCAGAGGAAACAGAACCACAGAAAAGGGATAGGAAGAAGCAGATGGGTGAACATTAAGACCCCAGATTTTTGGGTGCCCTATGCAGTTGCATATTCTGCACATGGGTAAGGATGGCTCTGCCTTCCCTTGTTTGGGCCATTGTGCCTTCTGCAACTGCCACTGTTCCTGCAGAAGAACTGCCTATGTCCATTGCAGCTGTTCAGACAGGAGATGAATAGCTTCCTCCAATTCCTGCACTATTGCTATTTCCCTCCTTAATGGTAGATGACTGTTGTAAATCTGGACAACTATGCCAGATCTTGCAGTGGACTGGCCATCGCATGTGTGACCCCACATGGCCTTGAATTGTGCTACAAGCAGCCTGCCTCAGTTCTCCCTCTTGGACTGTTCAAGGAACTCAGACGCTTTTGTTCATTCTCAGCCCTTCTTGAGTTGTGCACTGTGAAATTAACAAACATTCAAAATAAAATTTTCAAATCCAGTCAAAAGTCCACAGAAACAAGTTTCTCTTCCTTCTCCCAGGACTTCCAGCCTGGGGCCTTTCCTGCTTTAGCAGGACATTTTCAGGCCCTATGTGACAGAATTCTCAATGCTGTCAGGGCTCTTTGCTAGAGCTTGCTCAGTTATAGCAGTCTCCAGTCCCTGAGCATTGCCTTCTGCTGCTGCTCTTTATAGGGCATTCGCCCCAATCGCTCCCGGGTGTGGCTCATTCTGTAGTCAAGGTTGGCTACATCATTACAGTGATATTGGTTCACTGCAGAAGTGTGTATGAATTTGTTCCTCAGAAATTATGTAAATAGAAAACTTACTTGTAAAGTTAAGAAAAGAGAACACACTTAACTGAGTATCGCGTAATAGTCTCATGCCTCAAATACATACATTGTAATAAATGTTTCTTTATCTTTTTGTAGAAACAATATTAGATTGTGCTGTCAAATTATTTATTTGCTAATAATTCCTCTTTAAAGATTAACTCACAAAAGCAAAAAAAAAAAAAAATTAAGCCTGCTATTGCAGCCTTGCCTTCTCCAATATTTACTGAAGGCACGATGACACCAGTTGACATATTAGCAATAGGCCCAAAAAAAACATAGTGATATTACCTGCCCACTGGTAAAATGCAATTCCAAAAGCTATAAATACTCCAGTAAACATAATATTTAATTCATTATATACACAGCCTACTTAGATGGAATAACTATATCCTCAATGATCTATAATATTTTTCAATGTCATCAGAGTCTGTGGTAGAAGCATTTTAATGGCATCATAACTGAGCCTTCACAAACATGCATTTCCATTATTTTATAATGTTATAAATCATGTGTTATAAATTCACATGATAGCCACATTCTAATGGGGTCTTTATAGACAGACTTTAAAATTGTTTTACTATTACAATATCAAAACAAAATAGGATTGTTAATGTTTTTAGGATTCTAAAGTTATGGCACCAGTGATAAAAATTATATAGAAATCATTGCAGCTATGTAGATTATACAAAAATGATGCTATTACAGACAGACACATGCATACACAAAACACAAGCTATTCCATCATTGAAAAAGGCCCCATTGGTTTAATACATGTATCCCGGCTTCTCCATAGCTTTCTAGCAGACACCAGTTAGCAATCATGCAAGCAAGTTAACCAGTAGAAAGGGTTCTTTGTTTTGTTTCTGTATTTTGTTTAATTTTCACCAGAGCTGACACCCTGTAAACAGTCATTTTAACTGAGCTGTGGATTGCTATGTGGTTGGACACCTTTTCAGTTACATGGTGAAACTGCAAATGAGCATTCACAGACTGGTGTCTTGATGCATTTTAGTTTAAATAGCATTGCCAATTAACTTCTCCTTCCGTTAGAGAGTGATTTTCTTTTGTTAAAAAGTTGACACCCATAACACAAAGCTTGCACCTAGATGGTCCTCATTGACTCCAGGGATCACTGACACACGAGTTGTTCTGAATGGTACAAATTGCAGGATCAGGGCTAAAGCATAGCTTTGGATCTATTTCTTTCATCTAACTACATTATATGCCTAGCTCAAAAAAAGGCTGGTTTGGGTATACCTATTAGATCTTTAAAAGCTCCCTGACAATAAAAACCTCTCTGGCGTACTGTACAGATCAGTCTTTCCTCCACTACATTTGCATATTTTTTCGTATAAGCAAAAGGTGCTAGTTGACAAACCAATGTTGTCTTTTCTCTCCTGGAGACCACACAGGTTGGTGCCACTATTTAGGAAGAAAATCTAAGAAATCCCAACGTATTTGTTAGGCTCTAATTTCTGTGGAAATATTTTTCATGATTTTTCTTCTGATGCCTTAAGTTTTTTGGAATTGCACTCAGTACAGCAGCAGATACATTTGAGCTGGTGTTCTGAAAATGTTTTCCCCTGAGGCAAAGTTTTCTCCTGAGAATTCAGAAAGATAACAACAATATAATGTTTTCTACTGATAGAAATATGTCAATTTGTTGCCAACTGAATGCTTCCTGACTACTTTAGCAAAACCACAATGGAATTGCTTTCCTTGTAGACTCAGACAGAGCATCTTAGCCTCAGTTTATCAGATCATTCAAAGGGACAAAACATATCAGCCTGGCTTATGGCAGTCTTACTGTGATTTTGCTAAATTCAAGGTGGTGGACTAAGACCAACGTAATGAGGGGCAGAGAGGAGGAGGGGCTACGATATCTTGTCAAACTAATGTATGAAGCCCAAGTAGTCACACAGGATATAATGTCATCCATGTATCTGAGATTTCATGCTTTTCACTGTAAGAGGGAGATTAGAAAGCAATGAGGAAACCATTGTTTTAGATGCACATATTGTGATTTATTATAATTCATTATTGGAGGAGCAGGTGGCAACCATTTATGTTTAGGTTGTCTAAGGTTCTTATGACCTTTTTTGAAAAGCTCTCACACCTTCAATGTTTGTAGCAGTTCTTAGAAATTTGTCCTGGAGAAAGCCCTGGGCTAGAAAAGTGCCTTCTCTTTGTTCCGTGAAATTCCATTCAGGTTCAGCTGAATTATGAACAATTGACAGCTGCTACTTCCAGACCTATGCTTGCTTTGTCAGCCAAAATGATGGCACCTTGCCAAAATAA